TCCCTGAATAATCCTATAACTTTTGTGTTTAGCTTCCGAAAACCAAAGAAGAACTCGTGCAGCTGACCAACTTCTCAGACAATCGTCCAATTGACATCGTGACTCTTCTGAAAAGAGCCAACATGCTTCCATCATCTCCGTATGCAGCATCGACAGCTCAACCTGTTTCAACCGCCTAAGTTTTGTTTTTTTGTTTGATATTTAGTTCTCTCCTACTAATTTTGTTACGCTCCTCAATTATTCCAATGAATCTGAAACTCTGTTTGTGACGTGAAGTTTTTGAATTTCAAGAATTCTGAATACTTTTCTACATTTCTTACAATAGTAATTATGAGTAAGTTGGAGAAAAAATAGTCATAAAAATAGGTTCTAATTCAGCAACGAATGATTTCGATAGAATCGAAAGTTTATTGAAACAATGTGATGTGCATGAGAAGAATTTGCGAAACTCGCTTGACAAGACAACTCAGCGAGCTATGGTAATTTAATTTCATAACCGATAGAAGCATACTGTATCTACTGTAACTAACATAAATTATAAATTGGAAATATATTCCAGGAAGTGAAAGATCAAATGAATGTACGAATGAATCAAGTGATGCAAAAACTTGGCAAAGTGAGAGAGGTGTTTGATTCAGCGCACAGAGAAAATCAGCATGTATTTTAAAACACAGAAAACATTTATAGAAGATTCATTATTACAGCAAATGGACAAAATAAGAGAAAAACTGGATGAAGTGAATGCTCAAGAAATGGAAGGAAGTCGGGAATATGAGGAATTTCGACGAAAAACTACATTTATTAGAAGACAAAAAAGAAAACATGGATTGATTCGAAACATTGGAACATTTTTATATAATTGGGCGATTTTTATTTTATCGTTAATTGGGTGGTATAAATCTGTGAAAAAAGTAGTGAAGGAAATGAAGAAGACTGAAGAATTACCGTCAGTTCAGAAGAAAAAATTTGGATTCATATTCAAAATTTTCAGAAACGTGTCCCCTTCTCAACATACTTTGACTGTTGTCTTTCCAGAAGTTTCAAATCCCACGACGACTGCAACGAATATAAGTGTTCTCCCAAAAAAACAACAATAAAATATACTGTTTATTATTATTATTCTTTCTATTCAAAATGAATTTTGCCTTGAAATCTTTGATTGTGCTTGCTATTGTTAGCAATGGTGATCCTAATAAATGTGTTGGAACCTGAAAAATAAAGAATTTAGGTTTCATTAGAGCAACTGTCAATAGTTTTTATGAGAAGTTCGCAAACGTTTCCGTCCCAGATGATTGTGAGACTAATGCGGATTCTGAAGAAATATTCGGTCAACGTATCAATTATTATTCGGACGATACTGGAAATGTTTTCTGTTTTCGTAAAATAAACGGAGTAGTCCGCATGAGTTCTACGTCCCGACCTTTTGAAGATCCTAGATTTATGTGCTCAAAAGGACCAATGTCCTGGTATAGAGGAAGAAGAAATGTAGATTTCAAAAGTTTAATTTGGATTCATAACCCAAATATTTTTATCACATTTTTAGACCGCCCCTGTCTATTATGGTCCAGTTTTCCCAACACAACATTCGACATTTCTGATAGTTCCAGTTCATCTTACAGTATGAAGAGAATTCTCCCGGATGAATACGAAAATTTTTGTCGGAACCCGGATGAGAATCCGCTAGGACCATGGTGCCACGTGGAAGGAGGACTGAAAGTTCCTTGCTTCGAGCCTTGTAGACTTTCTTCTTCTGATTTTGTTTGTTTAAACAGGGATGGGTTCCCGTATACCGATGTCGAGATGTCGGATATTTTTGATCTTCCCCAATTGATTGGAGTATTCAAGAATGTTCATTTAATGTATGAATCAAGATTTGTAATACGGTTGGAAGTTGACAGACTGTCTACAAAAAGGTTTTAAAATCTGTGAAAAGGGAAAAAACAAGATCAATTTTCAGTTGCATAAACAAAGGAAACATTGCTAGTTTCTTCGGACCATGGATTTCTGTATTCGATGAAATGGCAAAGGACTTTGTGAAGATTATTGGACGACGGTGAGCAATTTTTGTTCATAGTTTCCCCTACAAGAAACCTTTTCATTTTCGATTATTTTTCCCTACAGTAATCCTTTTCATTTTCTAATGTTCTCCTCTACAGTAATCCTAAGCAATTTTTTTTTTCTCAGCAGTAATCCTTTTCATGTTCGAGTGTAATATCTACCGTAAAACCTGTTTCAGAAGGGCCCCCTGTAATAGAAGGGCCTATTTTCAAAATGTGTTTTTTAAAATTAAACATTTACATTACTATGCTTGTAACCACATATTTTATTTCAGTGTACTTCGAGATCTATGCGCTCCAATTGACACAATTGAACCTCCAAGTCGTTCACAAGGAATTCATCACGATGCAATAATAGAAGATGAGCTTACAGTAGCTGATTGTTCTTTCTGGAGACGTTGCTTTTCTTCGTGTCAGGATGATTTATCAAATTGTTGGAAAAAGGGAATTAAAGGGTATTATGGGTCAAAAACCGCAACACTAAGTGGAAAAAGTTGCTTACCTTGGACTCAAGTTTCATCGGAAATCCTGAAAATGATAAAAAGCAATTCGACGTCTTATGAAACATTTCATTTATACCATGATCTTCTTTTCAACGATCCTTCTCAGTTTTTCGTAGAATCCAGACTATTCATGAATACCGAGTCAGTTTCTGTGTCCTTCTGGAAATCTAAGCTTTCAAATTGCAGAAGTTCGTGCATGCTTCTGCACAGAAGAGACGATTCAGATATGAGAAGTTCGTTCACAGGAAGCTCATCTTATACCAAGGGAACCTGGATGACAGAATTTAAGAAAATGTTCCAAGAGGGGCCAGGGTGTTTTGTAAAACATGTAGGAGTACCAAGTTTATTGTATAATTGATAAAATTTTCAGAACAAAACTTTGCAATTCGAGTCGTGTTATACTGAGTGCGAGAAAACGCCAGAAATAGTTTTGACGAAACCTCTTTGTCCTGAAGGAAATACATATTCGATCTGTAAGCCAAAGAGAGGAGATGACTGGTTGAAACGAGGAAGGAAAGTTGATTGAACTATTTTTGTGTTTTTATTCTTTGCATAAATATTTTTATGTATTGATTCTGATTTTTTGTAACTTTGAAAGAAGAAGAAGAAGAGTCTGAACAAAAATGTTTCTTATAATAATATATTCAGGATTTTATTTGAATTGGCGCGGTTATTTATCTCTATCGTCGCCTGCGTCTCTTCAACACAACTCTCTCGCTGCGAGTATATGCTGCGAGTATATGCTAACCGTGCAGTTGCATTAGTCTCGGTTCATCCTTTGAAACCAGTAATTATGGAATCCGAGTCAGTGGGAAAATATGAAGAAGCACTGATCGCTGAACGAGAAGCTATTCTCAGGCAGTTAGCTCTACTGGGCTCAGGTAATTTTGAATAGCTTTGATAAGTTTTAAATTGAACGTTGCAGATTCTGAAGACGAAGAAAAAGACGAAAATGAGGAACAATCGGAAGAACCACAAAATGTGAAGACTGAACCATGTGAAATTGAGCCCACAACCTGTTCAGAAAGCGTTGAAGATTTGAATGCAGGTTAGTGACGTTTTATGAATATACCTAGATTTAATCGCAAGAATTCTCTTTTAGTAGGCCCACCAGATGAAAAGAAAGTACTCGACTCATGCCCTCAAGAAACCGATTCGTTTGGATTGGATGAAGATAACGAAGTAGACGTAGACGAAGAAGAGAAACCATGTTCAGCAGAGCCGCCCAGTACCGGTACGAGCAGTGAAAATAGTCGGTCACCCCCGGTTCCAGTGTATGTTAACCTACAATGAAACTGTTGTATTGAATGTTTTCAGAGAGAAAGTTGTACTAGACCGTGGTCCCGCCGACCGGATAGATTTGGATAAGAACCATCCCCTCCCAGATGGATGGACTGTTATCACCCATTTTAGTGGAATGCCCGTCTACTACGTGGGTTTATCAGTTCTAAATTCCATCGAACCTTGTTTTTACAGCATAGATTCACTCGAGTTGTCACTCATTCAAGGCCATATCAGGTCGAAGGAATTGTTCGAGATCATGACATACCCCTTCCATCAATACCTTGTTTATATCGTCAAATAATGGACGAAAAAGTACTACTGCGTTGTATTTTTTCAAAGAAAAAAAAACAATTGAATTCTAATTTCAGCAAAAGAATTTGGAAAATCAATCCGAAATGACCGAGGAGGAAATACAAGAAAATCTTCAAGTAGGCAGATGGGAAGAACACCCAGCGATTTTTTTTCAGATCTTCGCTTTCTATATTCTACTGAATTGTTCTATATTCTGTTAGATTATTATTTTCAGCCATAGTTCATCTAACCAATTACTTCAATGCATTTCAATCTTTGTAGTTTTTTTAATGATTGAAGTAATCGTGTTTGATGATATTCTGGCAATTTATCCAATATTTTGAAAAACACTTAAAAGTTCGGATTTACCCTTTTTAGCTTCATGAATCTGAGAAAACAATGTCCCCGGAAAGATATCGATTGTATTGTGAAGGGAGGTTCAAATTTAAGAAGATTACGGTAAGTTTTTGTTTACTTTGAAACTTGATCTAATCCTCTAATATGGCCTAATGAAGGTCAATTTCTCGATTTACAATTTTTGGGTTATATTATTTTGTTAGGAGAATGCCAATTCTAGACTTGAAGAGCGCATCGTTTCAGGTTCATCGTTATACAAACCCAGAAGAAAAACTAGGAGCCGTCCAGAAGAAACGGTTGAACTCGATGCTGAAGAAAAAAGGATTCGAACTGGATTACGATCAACTCAAAAAGAATAACACCCCTGGAGAAGTTCTTCTGTCATCTCAATCAGGAGCCTGTCTCATTGATTTGACACCTGCCCAAGCTAAACTGGGTACCAAAAAAGGAGGACCAAGAAAACCTTACCTGCTAAATCCTATGGTAATGATGTCAAAACATAATTTTTTATAGTTTAATTTTCAGGGTAAAACTACAGTAGCAGTACTGAATGAATTCGTTCAACGACTCGCAAAAGGAACACTAGTTTATGAAGTGGAAGATACTCGGAATGTTTCGAACCCATATCAAGCTACGGCAATGCTCACTATGAGAATAAGTACTCTACGTGAGCTAGTTGGACAATGCAAGGAGAGTTTGCTTGTGCTGAGCGAGAAGGCCGATTTGACAGGAAACTCTCAAGCGGCACTAGATCCAGAATTCAGTATGTGATAATTTTTCATGGGGTTATTCAGGGAGTCGGCAAAGAAGGAAAAAAACTCCGCGAAAACTCGGAGAGTGTTCCAATCTGGCTGAAACTTTGGGGAAAACTGGAGATAACTATAGGAAACATTTTGCCAAAGTTTGGGGTCAAAATATC